ATTTAATATAAGAAAAAAGAACAAGATCATCATGTATCATTGAGCTTACATTATAATTAAAATAAAAACATTTTTGTTTGATTAAAAGCCTCTTGTTTCTGGAGCGGACTTGACCCCAAGCCAAGGACCTTTGTTTGTTTTGACGAATCTAGAGGCTAAAGTAGAAGTTGAGGTCTGCGCAGGTAAACAAAACAACTTATTCAATTTCAAATAATCATTAATCTTATGTCATCTATAGGTATTTTAATTATGGCCAGCACAAACTGGTACACAAATATTCTCAATGATAATAAATCTTTACTTAATTCCATTATAGGAACACCAGGTTCTCCAAGCACACCTGGATCACCAAGCACTCCCGGATCACCAAGCACACCCGAGTCACCTAGTACTCCAGGATCACCAAGCACACCTGGATCACCAAGCACTCCAGGATCACCAAGCACACCTGAGTCACCAAGTACTCCAGGATCACCAAGCACACCTGAGTCACCAAGTACTCCAGGATCACCAAGCACTCCTGGATCACCAAGCACACCCGAGTCACCCAGCACACCCGAGTCACCAAGCACTCCCGGATCACCAAGCACACCCGAGTCACCAAGTACTCCAGGATCACCAAGCACACCTGAATCACCAAGCACTCCAGGATCACCAAGCACACCTGAGTCACCAAGCACACCTGAATCACCAAGTACACCTGGATCACCAAGCACACCTGAGTCACCAAGTACTCCAGGATCACCAAGCACACCTGAGTCACCAAGTACTCCAGGATCACCAAGCACACCTGAGTCACCAAGTACTCCAGGATCACCAAGCACACCTGAGTCACCAAGTACTCCAGGATCACCAAGCACACCTGAGTCACCAAGTACTCCAGGATCACCAAGCACACCTGAGTCACCAAGTACTCCAGGATCACCAAGCACACCTGAGTCACCAAGTACTCCAGGATCACCAAGCACACCTGAGTCACCAAGTACTCCAGGATCACCAAGCACACCTGAGTCACCAAGTACTCCAGGATCACCAAGCACACCTGAGTCACCAAGTACTCCAGGATCACCAAGCACACCTGAGTCACCAAGTACTCCAGGATCACCAAGCACACCTGAGTCACCAAGTACTCCAGGATCACCAAGCACACCTGAGTCACCAAGTACTCCAGGATCACCAAGCACACCTGAGTCACCAAGTACTCCAGGATCACCAAGCACACCTGAGTCACCAAGTACTCCAGGATCACCAAGCACACCTGAGTCACCAAGTACTCCAGGATCACCAAGCACACCTGAGTCACCAAGTACTCCAGGATCACCAAGCACACCTGAGTCACCAAGTACTCCAGGATCACCAAGCACACCTGAGTCACCAAGTACTCCAGGATCACCAAGCACACCTGAGTCACCAAGTACTCCAGGATCACCAAGCACACCTGAGTCACCAAGTACTCCAGGATCACCAAGCACACCTGAGTCACCAAGTACTCCAGGATCACCAAGCACACCTGAGTCACCAAGTACTCCAGGATCACCAAGCACACCTGAGTCACCAAGTACTCCAGGATCACCAAGCACACCTGAGTCACCAAGTACTCCAGGATCACCAAGCACACCTGAGTCACCAAGTACTCCAGGATCACCAAGCACACCTGAGTCACCAAGCACTCCTGGATCACCAAGCACACCTGAGTCACCAAGTACTCCAGGATCACCAAGCACACCTGAGTCACCAAGTACTCCAGGATCACCAAGCACACCTGAGTCACCAAGTACTCCAGGATCACCAAGCACACCTGAGTCACCAAGTACTCCAGGATCACCAAGCACACCTGAGTCACCAAGTACTCCAGGATCACCAAGCACACCTGAGTCACCAAGTACTCCAGGATCACCAAGCACACCTGAGTCACCAAGTACTCCAGGATCACCAAGCACACCTGAGTCACCAAGTACTCCAGGATCACCAAGCACACCTGAGTCACCAAGTACTCCAGGATCACCAAGCACACCTGAGTCACCAAGTACTCCAGGATCACCAAGCACACCTGAGTCACCAAGTACTCCAGGATCACCAAGCACACCTGAGTCACCAAGTACTCCAGGATCACCAAGCACACCTGAGTCACCAAGTACTCCAGGATCACCAAGCACACCTGAGTCACCAAGTACTCCAGGATCACCAAGCACACCTGAGTCACCAAGTACTCCAGGATCACCAAGCACACCTGAGTCACCAAGTACTCCAGGATCACCAAGCACACCTGAGTCACCAAGTACTCCAGGATCACCAAGCACACCTGAGTCACCAAGTACTCCAGGATCACCAAGCACACCTGAGTCACCAAGTACTCCAGGATCACCAAGCACACCTGAGTCACCAAGTACTCCAGGATCACCAAGCACACCTGAGTCACCAAGTACTCCAGGATCACCAAGCACACCTGAGTCACCAAGTACTCCAGGATCACCAAGCACACCTGAGTCACCAAGTACTCCAGGATCACCAAGCACACCTGAGTCACCAAGTACTCCAGGATCACCAAGCACACCTGAGTCACCAAGTACTCCAGGATCACCAAGCACACCTGAGTCACCAAGTACTCCAGGATCACCAAGCACACCTGAATCACCAAGCACTCCAGGATCACCAAGCACACCTGAGTCACCAAGTACTCCAGGATCACCAAGCACACCTGAGTCACCAAGTACTCCAGGATCACCAAGCACACCTGAGTCACCAAGCACTCCAGGATCACCAAGCACACCTGAGTCACCAAGTACTCCAGGATCACCAAGCACACCTGAATCACCAAGCACTCCAGGATCACCAAGCACACCTGAGTCACCAAGCACACCTGAATCACCAAGTACACCTGGATCACCAAGCACACCTGAGTCACCAAGTACTCCAGGATCACCAAGCACACCTGAGTCACCAAGTACTCCAGGATCACCAAGCACACCTGAGTCACCAAGTACTCCAGGATCACCAAGCACACCTGAGTCACCAAGTACTCCAGGATCACCAAGCACACCTGAGTCACCAAGTACTCCAGGATCACCAAGCACACCTGAGTCACCAAGTACTCCAGGATCACCAAGCACACCTGAGTCACCAAGTACTCCAGGATCACCAAGCACACCTGAGTCACCAAGTACTCCAGGATCACCAAGCACACCTGAGTCACCAAGTACTCCAGGATCACCAAGCACACCTGAGTCACCAAGTACTCCAGGATCACCAAGCACACCTGAGTCACCAAGTACTCCAGGATCACCAAGCACACCTGAGTCACCAAGTACTCCAGGATCACCAAGCACACCTGAGTCACCAAGTACTCCAGGATCACCAAGCACACCTGAGTCACCAAGTACTCCAGGATCACCAAGCACACCTGAGTCACCAAGTACTCCAGGATCACCAAGCACACCTGAGTCACCAAGTACTCCAGGATCACCAAGCACACCTGAGTCACCAAGTACTCCAGGATCACCAAGCACACCTGAGTCACCAAGTACTCCAGGATCACCAAGCACACCTGAGTCACCAAGTACTCCAGGATCACCAAGCACACCTGAGTCACCAAGTACTCCAGGATCACCAAGCACACCTGAGTCACCAAGTACTCCAGGATCACCAAGCACACCTGAGTCACCAAGTACTCCAGGATCACCAAGCACACCTGAGTCACCAAGTACTCCAGGATCACCAAGCACACCTGAGTCACCAAGTACTCCAGGATCACCAAGCACACCTGAGTCACCAAGTACTCCAGGATCACCAAGCACACCTGAGTCACCAAGCACTCCAGGATCACCAAGCACACCTGAGTCACCAAGTACTCCAGGATCACCAAGCACACCTGAGTCACCAAGTACTCCAGGATCACCAAGCACACCTGAGTCACCTAGTACTCCAGGATCACCAAGCACTCCTGGATCACCAAGCACACCCGAGTCACCCAGCACACCCGAGTCACCAAGCACTCCCGGATCACCAAGCACACCCGAGTCACCAAGTACTCCAGGATCACCAAGCACACCTGAATCACCAAGCACTCCAGGATCACCAAGCACACCTGAGTCACCAAGCACACCTGAATCACCAAGCACACCTGGATCACCAAGCACACCTGAGTCACCAAGTACTCCAGGATCACCAAGCACACCTGGTTCACCAAGCACACCATGTGAGCTTGTAATGCTGCCTGATACAAATGATAACAAAGTATCCCCTAGACAAACTAGCTCTGCAAGTAGGAATGCACTTCCACAAACCATTACTCTTGCCAATCCAAATGATGAAGACGTGAAACGTGTCACTGTTTCAGAAAAGCCTGCATTTGTTTTGCAACCAACAGATAAGGTAATTTGCAAAAAGTTACACTGTTAACATTCCATGATATTTTAAGTTGCACAATCAATTGTTTAAGTCTTAAGAATTAAACAAAAAACTTAAAAAATTTTATTGCCATTAAATTACATAATTCTAGTCATACAAGATAATATTTCAATTAAAAATTGTTCTGACTTTATTTTTGAGCACTTTGTTTCTTTGTTTCATATTTTAGACAAATCTAACACCAGATTCTGTCATTGTCTTTGAAGTTGGTAAGTTTCAGATAACTTGTATACAAATCATAGTTTTGATATCTTTTTTCCTGGCATAAATTCATGTTTTTTAACGCAAATTCTTTGAATATTTTAAAAACAAATTTTTTTCAAATGTTTCCTATACTTAATACTTGCTGATAATTGCTTATTTTAAGTATCTGATTGAAATATTTTTCACAGTCACAGATGGACCTGAAACAAGACTAATACCAGATGAGGTACAGAAAACTGTAGGTCAGTAAATTAAAATATATTCCTTTTCTTTAACATTGGTACATTCTTCTTTACATTTGGATTAAATTTGAATTGAAAGATATTTTAAAATTTCTTGAATTTATAAAGCTTGTTTATTTTTTGCTTTTGGATGGTGCAAGAAACTATTATTTCTTTCAACATGCATTTCACTGTTTGCACAAAGGCAATAAAATGTGATTTAATAGCAAATTTTTAAAAAGCTATTTACTGACCCTTACAAAAATAATGAGGTAATATCGTTATTTCACTTTCAAGTCAAATATTTACATATAGCAACTTATGGAAACTTGTACAATCTTTGTTTTCTTTTGTAGATGAAACTGGGGGAGATCTCTACGTAGTACCGGTATATGATGAGAACAAGGATGTAACAACAAATTACTACATAATAGTACCTGAGAAAACTTCCAACATCTCACCTCCTCAAGGGGCAACTGTTTATGAAAAAACGGTAAAGATTTTTCCCGAGTTTATTATTTCACAGAGTTCTCATGAAAAAGTTTCTTTTAAAAAAAAATCCTTTTTAACGATTTTGCTTTTAGATTTTAAAAACATGTTTTAAAATAGTCTGATGCAAATTTAAGACATTTCTGTGTGATATATTTAATATAAGAAAAAAGAACAAGATCATCATGTATCATTGAGCTTACATTATAATTAAAATAAAAACATTTTTGTTTGATTAAAAGCCTCTTGTTTCTGGAGCGGACTTGACCCCAAGCCAAGGACCTTTGTTTGTTTTGACGAATCTAGAGGCTAAAGTAGAAGTTGAGGTCTGCGCAGGTAAACAAAACAACTTATTCAAGTTCAAATAATCATTAATCTTATGTCATCTATAGGTATTTTAATTATGGCCAGCACAAACTGGTACAAAAATATTCTCAATGATAATAAATCTTTACTTAATTCCATTATAGGAACACCAGGTTCTCCAAGCACACCTGGATCACCAAGCACTCCTGGATCACCAAGCACACCCGAGTCACCTAGTACTCCAGGATCACCAAGCACACCTGGATCACCAAGCACTCCAGGATCACCAAGCACACCTGAGTCACCAAGTACTCCAGGATCACCAAGCACACCTGAGTCACCAAGTACTCCAGGATCACCAAGCACTCCTGGATCACCAAGCACACCCGAGTCACCAAGCACACCCGAGTCACCAAGTACTCCAGGATCACCAAGCACACCTGAGTCACCTAGTACTCCAGGATCACCAAGCACTCCAGGATCACCAAGCACACCCGAGTCACCCAGCACACCCGAGTCACCAAGCACTCCCGGATCACCAAGCACACCCGAGTCACCAAGCACTCCAGGATCACCAAGCACACCTGAATCACCAAGCACTCCAGGATCACCAAGCACACCTGAGTCACCAAGCACACCTGAATCACCAAGCACACCTGGATCACCAAGCACACCTGAGTCACCAAGTACTCCAGGATCACCAAGCACACCTGAGTCACCAAGTACTCCAGGATCACCAAGCACACCTGAGTCACCAAGTACTCCAGGATCACCAAGCACACCTGAGTCACCAAGTACTCCAGGATCACCAAGCACACCTGAGTCACCAAGTACTCCAGGATCACCAAGCACACCTGAGTCACCAAGTACTCCAGGATCACCAAGCACACCTGAGTCACCAAGTACTCCAGGATCACCAAGCACACCTGAGTCACCAAGTACTCCAGGATCACCAAGCACACCTGAGTCACCAAGTACTCCAGGATCACCAAGCACACCTGAGTCACCAAGTACTCCAGGATCACCAAGCACACCTGAGTCACCAAGTACTCCAGGATCACCAAGCACACCTGAGTCACCAAGTACTCCAGGATCACCAAGCACACCTGAGTCACCAAGTACTCCAGGATCACCAAGCACACCTGAGTCACCAAGTACTCCAGGATCACCAAGCACACCTGAGTCACCAAGTACTCCAGGATCACCAAGCACACCTGAGTCACCAAGTACTCCAGGATCACCAAGCACACCTGAGTCACCAAGTACTCCAGGATCACCAAGCACACCTGAGTCACCAAGTACTCCAGGATCACCAAGCACACCTGAGTCACCAAGTACTCCAGGATCACCAAGCACACCTGAGTCACCAAGTACTCCAGGATCACCAAGCACACCTGAGTCACCAAGTACTCCAGGATCACCAAGCACACCTGAGTCACCAAGTACTCCAGGATCACCAAGCACTCCTGAGTCACCAAGTACTCCAGGATCACCAAGCACACCTGAGTCACCAAGTACTCCAGGATCCCCAAGCACACCTGAGTCACCTAGTACTCCAGGATCACCAAGCACTCCTGGATCACCAAGCACACCCGAGTCACCCAGCACACCCGAGTCACCAAGCACTCCCGGATCACCAAGCACACCTGAGTCACCAAGCACACCTGAATCACCAAGCACACCTGAGTCACCAAGCACTCCAGGATCACCAAGCACACCTGAGTCACCAAGTACTCCAGGATCACCAAGCACACCTGAGTCACCAAGTACTCCTGGATCACCAAGCACACCTGAGTCACCTAGTACTCCAGGATCACCAAGCACTCCATGTCAGGTCATTATGCTGCCAGTTTCACTGAGCAACAGAATATTGCCAACATATTCTGCAACCACAAGTGGTGAAACACCAGCCTTATATCTTTTGAACCCAAGAGATGAAACTGTTCAAGGTGTCACTGTGGACAATTTTGAGGCATTTATTTTAGTTCCAGAAAGCAAGGTACTGTGAAATAATTAGTTTGTGTATCTTGTATTTTGAAATAGATTTGTATTCATTTAATAAATATTTTTTTACATAAATAAAACTTTGATTTGTTACTATGAATCAATAGAATTATGTTTTTTATGTGTGTTTTCCTTTCATATCAATTCAATTTATATTTTCAGAATATCTTTAGTGGAGATGAAGTAAATGAAGTTGTTTTTTCAGTCACTAAAGGTAAGCTTTTTTAATATTTTGATTTAGACATACAATTGTTATTAACTTAAAAGTGAATCAACTTAAATATATTCTATTTTTATTTTATGGCCATCTTGATTGTTTTTTTTTATAGTATTACTATTGTATCCATTTGACATTTATGAGTCTAAATATATTTTTAAAATTTTGTGTCTGCTTTTAAGTAGAATTTTTGCTGAAGTGTTAATTGCCTTATTAAACCTTATTTTATATTAACAGCAATTTAACCTAATTATTTACAATTATTGTTTCAATTTTGTTTATTTACTTATTTGAATAACTAACAATCTTATTTTGATACACTCTATAGATGCAGGAGATGTCGATGCTATTACTCAAATCCTAACCAACCTACATAGTAAGCAAATAAAAAGATATTTTGTGTACTCTTAAACAAGTTACATCTGGATCTTATGTATAAAATTATTATTTTTCAACACAAATAAACAATAATAATATTATCATTAATTTAATTTGAATAGATCTCTTTAATTCATAATTTTCATACTATCTATAATTGTAATGATAAAAAAAAGGTTTTTAATCTTTTCATTTTAAGTATGTACTGGTATTTTATTATTGCACACATCATTTAATAACAGTGTTACTTCTATAAAATAGAAACAAGTACCAGTGTTCAGTTTAAAGGAACTTTAAAATTACTTATTTAAATATTTTATACTTTTATAGACAATCACAGTGGTAATCACTATGTTGTACATACTGATAACAACCAAACAATTACCATTGTTTCTGTTATTGCTCTTGAGAGAGGTGAACTTATTAATACTTCAAAAATTGGAGCCATTGCATATAAGCAAGAGGTAATTGTTTAAAAAATAATATGAGACTATAAATTTACACCTACTATTATTTATGCTTTCAAAACTTATTTTAAACAAAATAAATTATCTTATTTTACACAATTTTTTGCTGAATCAATTGAAATTAAAAGTATAATTATGTTTCTCATATTAACTATCTGGATAGGTTAAAGAATAGTTTTTTATCTATTTATTGCCCTTTACTGCAACTACTTTTACAGCAACCATTTTCTCATTGTAAACTTTGTTAACAGCGTCTTTCAGATACAACAAACTTTTCTGATATTATTGGACCTGTCTTAATTATGACTAATCCTCAAGCTGATGTGAAAGTAAAAGTATGCGAAGGTAAACAAAATGATAATTAAGGTAATCAAAAGTAAAGTATGCATTAAAAAATTAGATAGCAAATCTCATACAAAATTTAACAATTATTCTTTACAATAGTAATTGTATAAATTGGGAAAATTGTTTCAGGAACACCAAGCATGCCAGGATCACCAGGTACACCTGAATCCCCAAATACACCTGAGTTGCCTAGTATTCCAGAATCTCCTAGCACACCAGGTTCTCCAAGTACACCTGAGTCACCAAGCACTCCAGGATCACCAAGCACACCTGAGTCACCTAGCAGTCCAGGATCACCAAGCACACCTGA